CTGGCCATCATCGCCCTCCCCGTCTACTGTCCAGCGTCATACCGTCCACTTAGGCTATCTGTCCAACAAGGCCACCCTCCTCCTCCCGCCGCGCAGGAACATACACCTTCCTTATTATCACCCGCACCACTGTGGATGGTATCTTACATCTTCCGATCCATCGTCTGACCCTGAAATTACGTTAACAATCTCGATTCCAGTCCCAAGCAGGAAGTTAAACCGGAGTCGAATGATTCTAGCCAAACAGAACTATAGGACTGACCACTAGAAAACGCTACTTAGCCTTATACTGGGTGGCACACTTATGTCTGTCTGTCACCGTTAGCCACCATAAACATTAGCCCCCTCCCATGACGGGTCAATGTTGCGGTGATTGCAATATCCCTAAACTATTGCAATTTGTACGTCGGGGTTAATAGCTTGAAACATGTCTCAGCGTGTCTCAACACGTGGCAAGTTGGCCGCCATCTTGAGTATTTCACCAACATTGGCATTCCATATGTGTGAGGGGTTGGGGGTCATTTATTGTCACCCGTATTAGTGTGACCTGTACTCTGTAATGAGAACAGGTGCTCTCACTTATTGCTGTGCTACTTGATGAGTCCATTGTTTACCTGTTGAGTCCACTGTTTACCTGTTGAGTCCATTGTTTACCTGTTGAGTCCATTGTTTACCTGTTGAGTCCATTGTTTACCTGTTGAGTCCATTGTTTACCTGTTAATTTTGAGAAGGCAGCAGGTACAAGACACGTGAGAGAGAAGGCAGCCATAATGGCAGGGGCCGCCACTTGAAGGATCTCTCACAACACACCAAGTAAAGGCACACGACTCAAGTCAGATCTTCTTGAGTACATTCCAAAGCAATATATTCATATGTATTTATGTTATATACATACCTAAGTGTGCTTGCTGGGGGTTGAGCTTCGGCTCTTTGGTCCCGCCTCTCAACATTCAATCATCTGGTGTTCAGATTCCTAAGCCTATTGGCCTCTATTGTGTGTATGTGTGACTGTATGTACTCACATAGTTGTGCTTGCGGGGTTTGAGCTCTGGCTCACTGGTCCCGTCTCTCAACTGTCAATCAACTGATGTACAGATCCCTGAACTTCTCAAGCTCTATCATATCAACATTTGAAACTGTGTATGGAGTCAGCCTTCACCACATCACTGCCTAGTGCATTCCACTTACTAACTACTCTGACACTGAAAAAGTTATTTCTAATGTCTCTGTGGGTCATTTGGGTACTCAGCTTCCACCTGTGTCCCCTTGTTCGTGTACCACTCGTGTTAAATAATCCTTCCTTTTCTACCCTGTCAATTCCCTTGAGAATTTTCTATGTGGTGATCAAGTCTCCCTGGGCTCTTCTGTCTGCCAGCGACATGAGGTGCAGTTCCCTCAGCCTTTCCTCGTAACTCATGCCTCTTAGTTCTGGGACTAGCCTCGTGGCATAAATATTAACTTTTTCCAGCTCCGTCTTGTTGTTGACAAGATACAGGCTCCATGCTGGGGCCGCATACTCCGGGATTGGACTTACATACGTGGTATACAAGGTTTTGAAAGATTCCTTACACAGGTTCCTGAAGGCAGTGCTGATGTTAGCCAGCCTCACATTCGCGAGGCTGGCTTGTAATTACCTAAGTGTAGTTACAGGATGATGACCATGTGTGGTCACACGTGTGTGTGTGTGTGTGTGTGTGTGTGTGTGTGTGTGTGTGTACTCACCTAGTTGTGCTTGCTGGGGTTGAGCTTTGCTCTTTCGGCCCGCCTCTCAACTGTCAATCAACTATTACTAACTAAAGTAGAAGAAGAATAGTAGAGTAGAAATACTTCCTGGTTCTGGGAGTAGAGAACCTCCAGAACCCCATCAAGCAGATATTAAGCAGGTAACTAACTAATTTTGTTCCATATACACACACACACACACCCAGGAAGCAGCTCCGTAACAGCTGTCTAACTCCCAGGTACCTATTTACTGCTAGGTAACAGGGGCAGTCAGAGTGAAAGAAACTTTGCCCATTTGTCCTGGTCCGGGAATCGAACCCGGGCTACATAATTATGAGTCCTGCGCGCTATCCACTCAGCTACCCGACCCCCTATGTGTATGTGCGGGCGTGAGTGTGTTCTGGACAACCTCCAGCAGAACCTGACAGACCTGTTCCCTTCTCAACACAACCAGGTCAAGACCTAATGAGCCTGAGTCATGATCAGCTTCAACAACACCAATTAGGCCAAACACATATTGACGTCAGCCGTTTGTGTTGATTTTGAGTTTAACGTGTTTACCATAGTTTTTTTTTTTACTGGTACAACACTCTGACGTGAGAGTTTTGACTGGTACAACACTGACGTGACAGTTTTTCAGTGTTGTATCAGTCAAAACTCGTTCCAATAACTGACTGACACAAGGATTTTGATTGGTATAAAATCAAGTTCCAAACCTGTACAATAAAATTACAACATAATGGGATGATATATATGGTAGGAATTGCAAAACATATACCATATAAAATCAGGGTGCCATCATCACAGTTAGAGAACAGTGTAAACGTCAAACACTCACGACTCTCCAATCCCCGCCAACAAGTGTTGCTGGAACAGCAGTGGAAGTATTTAATAGACAACTGGACAAGTTTCTGCCGAAGTTACTGGATCTGCCTGGCTGTGATGGGCCTTCAGGCAACGAAGACAGCCTCACAGGCCGACAATCATCAGGGAAGTCTGGCCCCAAGCCAAGTTGGGGGAATACTCGGACTCGTCAGCGGGTAATGATTTAACGGGAGAAACATCGGGCACTGGAAAGAGACATGAAGTGGCACATGTGTTGTGGAGGCGGGGTTGGGAGTGGTGAAGAGAGTGGGGGGAGTGGGTGTGACTGACGGAGAAGGGAGGTAAGCTACCCTAGCCTAGAGGCTAAGTTGTAGGACAAAGCCGGAGATCAACAGACCTCATAACTCACTCTGGGCCACACCACAAGAGTCAAAAGGGGCGTGGGAGCTGCCTGATGGTGTGGGGTGTAGGTGGGGCGTGGGGGGCTGGCTGATGGTGGGGGTGTTGGTGGGGCGTGGGGGGCTGGCTGATGGTGGGGGTGTTGGTGGGGCGTGGGGGGCTGGCTGATGGTGGGGGTGTAGGTGGGGCGTGGGGAGCTGGCTGATGGTGGGGGTGTTGGTGGGGCGTGGGGGGCTGGCTGATGGTGGGGGTGTAGGTGGGGCGTGGGATATGACTGATGAAGGGAGGAGGGAGTGGAAGGTTGGGATTGTGGTTGGTGGAATGAGGGGTGGGGAGAGGGAATGGCTTTTATTAAAAAAAAAAACTCATTTTTAACGCATTTATTAAATTTGACTATGATATTGAACATGCACTTTATCACATGTTTAAATTAATATATTACTAGAGATTTGGTAATGTTCAGTTTCAAAGACCATAGCTTCATTTAAATTTGGTTATGTATTGCGTGTTTACAAGAATTGACATTAAAATTGTAAGCCTCTAGTGCACAGTAGCCTACCTTTCAAAACGTACGCGTGTCCCATTAGTTACATATATGGTTAAAACCCAACTTTGGGTAGCAAATCTGGGTTACCTAGTCTACTGTGTGGTGATATATATACACACCAAGAAGTATACACTCTTCCTCGGTGTATGTTTGTTCACAGTTAGTTTATTTTAGGCTTTAGAATGTCGAGAGCTAAAGTATACCACCTGGTCTGTCAGTAAGCGAATGCAGTAGGTTTATAGTCCTTATTAAGAGGCTGAAGTGCCTAAAATCGAGCTACCAGGCACATCAAACCAATGTTGACTTAAATAGTGCCCAATAACATTTATTTTAAAGAAAACTCCACAGTGATAAGTAAAGAAAAGAAAAAGAAAAAATATATGAAAATATATATAAAAAAACACAAAGAAAAAGTCCAATATATGACATCATACACACGTGAGGCGCTCTTTGATAACGCGCCACGAGAATGTAAACACCAGGGGCTAGTAGCCTAGCCTACGCAGGAAAAAGGCTAGGCCTATAAACCTTAAGGCTACCTGCCTGTGACACACGAGGCCAACAGAACTCCAGAGGCAACAATCAAACAGAACTCTTGCCGTGCATCATCGGAGAGGAGAAGACCTTGGCAGAACTGAACGTATTATAAGGAACCCTTTCATCCGGCTGGCGCCGGAAGCTGTGTATACTATGACTCCTGCGGCTGTCTTCCTGGTGGCCCACACTCCTTCCTCTGCCAACACCTGCCTCCAGGGCGGCCCACACTCCTTCCCCTGCCAACACCTGCCTCCAGGGCGGCCCACACTCCTTCCCCTGCCAACACCTGTCTTCAGGGTGGCCCATACTCCTTCCCCTGCCAACACCTGCCTCCAGGGTGGCCCACACTCCTTCCCCTGCCAACACCTGCCTTCAGGGTGGCCCACACTCCTTCCTCTGCCAACACCTGCCTCCAGGGTAGCCACACCCCTTCCCCTGCCAACACCTGCCTCCAGGGTGGCCCACACCCCTTCCCCTGCCAACACCTGCCTTCAGGGTGGCCCACACTCCTTCCTCTGCCAACACCTGCCTCCAGGGTGGCCCACACCCCTTCCCCTGCCAACACCTGCCTTCAGGGTGGCCCACACTCCTTCCTCTGCCAACACCTGCCTCCAGGGTGGCCCACACTCCTTCCCCTGCCAACACCTGCCTGGTGAGCCACACTACCAACACCTGCCTGGTGGGCCACAGTCCCAACACCTGCCTGGCGGCCCACACTGCCCACTCGTCCACACATTACTCTCTCATATTCCTTATTTGATCTGACCCACTCACTGGTAGTTCATTTTCTCTCAAGTGCGAGAGTTAACTAAACCATTCCCCCCTTCAAGTCACACGTCTTTAAACATCAAGTGCAGCCAACGGCATCTTCCTAAAGCTGTTTTTACTATCATTTATCACTTACAAAAATGATATTTAAGTCAGTTATACCCACGACCTGTAATTCCATCCTCCTGGGCAAAACACTAACCATTAATCCCGTCGATTGTAAGCATTCCAAGCTGTACTACAAATCGCTGTAGGCTTGAAAAAGCAAAGCTGTCACGCGCAGAAAGGCCATTTGGGATGTAAGACAAATATATATGGGTTGCAAGGTTCCTTGAGGGAGACGTCGGAGACGGACGGACACACACACACACGACCCGCCGGAGACACTGGCCAAGGCAGACTGACTGGCTTGGTCGGTTGGTCCTCTTGGTCACCCCACAGCACCCACTGGGGGCTGGCTGCCAGGGGTCGCCACCCACCTCCTCCCATCTCCTCCTTCCTCCTATAAACAGTGCTATATATACCACCTTATAATAGTTCACAGGGTCATGTGTTATTATGGAACATGTAGCCATTGTTGGAGTTGTGGTGGACACCATACCTATCGTAAGGGTGGTGGTGGACTTTGATTGATTGATTGATTGCTGCCGCCGAAGGCGGCTAGTTTATTGTGCACCCCATACTCATCCTGTGAGCGGTAGCGCAAAAGCATTACAGAGGGCACAAAAGGTCTTTATCAGACCTCATCTTAGATTATTACATAAACAATTTCTTCTATCCTTCACACCTTATAGTTACAATGTCAGCTAGTTACAGAGAAAGTGCTATGACAAGAGCTACATATTTACAGTAAGTCATCATACATTAATGGTAGGTCTTATCATTAATACATAATAGTAGGACCCAATACCCATCCTGGGAGTAGCAGTGAACCCTATAAGAATCTTGTAGGTAAGTGGCAGAGAGGTTTCAGTGCCACACAGTGAGTTGAAGTACTTCTGGATTCCAAGCAAGATCTTCATGTTAAGCAATTTATATTTATATTTCGCTTCTCAGATAATATATGTTGAGTTTAATTTATTGTCGTTCAGGCCTGTTGGTCCGCCTTGCAAGTTACAGTGCAGGGCTTGCAAGATACAGTGCAGACCTTGCAAGATACAGCGCAGGCCTTGCAAGATACAGTGCAGGCCCTGCAAGTTACAGCGCAGGCCTTGCTGTGAACGATACAGTAATACAGTACACGAGATAAATTAACAGCTCTAAACCCCATCATAATTACATTTGGGACTATATTCATACCTAACCGTCCGATGCAATTTAAATAATAATTGTACATAGCTATTCATGCTGCTTTTTAATCTCTAGTTCCCTGATTATTATTTATTAATTATCAATAAGATTAAAGCATATGACTTAATATATTACAGTCAAGATAGTCTATAGATAAGAATGTGTAGTGTACTTCTTTGAGGCTATTACTTTGATGGTGAGTTCGGGAACTGAGGTGGTCTTAGGCTTTAATATTATTAAGCTTTAATATTTGTCTTATAGGCCTGACATGGCGTTCGTTCCGAGGATCAACGTCCCCGCGGCCCGGTCTCTGACTAACCTCACCACCAGTACCAAGAGGCGAGAACGATACAGTAATAATTTCTGAAGTGTTGTTAAAGCATCGTAGCTGTGGGTATGAGGTACACGAAGTTACTCTAGATGGTAACCTTTAGGGAGTAAATAAATAACAGCGTAGTGGTGTTGGCGGTTCAGCTGCGGGATGGTTCAGTTGCCACTAACCGCTCGGGGTGGACGCTCATCCCCTTCACGGTATATCCTGGCATACACATTACCATTCCTCTACTACATATGCCCAATACGCACTCTAAACACCACGGCAATATCAAATAAATAGGCAGTAACAGATCATACTCTGGGGAACAAGGTGTATTAACCTCTCCATATTCAACTGATGCGCCCTAGCTGGCAACCCCCCAGGGGCCGCCCCACGCCATCAAGAACTTCACCGACACTGGGAAATATAATCGAATTTATTTTTGAATGATTTCTGTATCAAAATCACTACTCAAGAGGAATGAGAAATGTGAAACTGAGACATCGTTTCTTGGCCAAAATTAGCTAAGCCGTATTCCGTTGTTATTAAACGCAAGGGAATTATTATTTATTTTCTGAGTAATGGAAATAGCATAGGCCTATCCAGTGGGCTATATGAGGACGTATTTTGTTTTATTATGCGACCTGTACTCATCCTGTAAGTGGTAGTGGGCACCATACTCATCCTGTGAGTGGTAATGGACACCATACTCATCCTGTATTCACCTAGTTGTGCTTGCGGGGGTTGAGCTCTGCTCTTTCGGCCCGCCTCTCAACTGTCAATCAGTCAACTGTTACAACTCCTAACACCCTGACAGCTGGATGGACAGCACTTCGGATTCGTAGTCCTGAGGTTCCGGGTTCGATCCCCGGCAGAGACAAATGGGCAAAATGTTTCTTTCACCCTGATGCCCCTGTTACCTAGCAGTAAATAGGTACCTGGGAGTTAGACAACTGCTGCTTCCTGGGGGTGGAGTCCAGGTCGAGGACCGGGCCGCGGGGACGCTAAGCCCCGAATTCATGTCAAGATAATTATAAACTTTTAACTGTATCATAAACTGTTTACTCCACCAACTGTACCATAAACTGTTTACTGTAGCAACTAATGCATTACTTTGCTAACTATACTGTAAAATTATATATTAATGTACTTGGTTATTTAAGTGCTAACTTTACGCGCATTTAACTGCACTGTAAACTGATGTATTACTGTACTAACCGCACTGTAAACTGATGTATTACTGCACTAATTGCACTGTAAACTTATATATTGATGCACTAACTGCACTGTAAACTGATGTATTACTGTACTGTAAACTGGTGTATTACCCCACAAACTGTACTTTAGACTGCTGCATTACTGTACTAACTGTAAACTGATATATTACCGTACTAACTGAACTGTAAACTGATGTATTACTGTACTAACTGAACTGTAAACTGGTGTATTTTAAAACTTATTCCTAACCTTAGTATTTTTATATATTTTTAAATATTTTTAAACTTTGAAAGAAACAGGTTATCAAAGAGATATATAATTTCCGCTTCCAGTGACAGGAAGCCTGTTCTATACATAGGCTTATCGAGCTCCCCTCTAGGCCAACTACAAACCTTTCCCATCATGCAACCCACAACAGTTGCCTAACTCCCGGGTGCCTATTTATTGCTAGGTGAAGAGAGGTACCAGGTGAGAGGAAATGTTGTTCAATCGTGTCCGTTCCAGAGTTCCCCAGTTGTGAGTAGAGGACGTAGACCACTGCGTTACAAGACCCCCCAATATATTTCGTGAGGAGTGACTTCGCAGTATATACATATACCTGTTTATTTTGTTCTTGAATATTGTTCAGGATTAAATTCTTGCAATTTGGTCAGTAGCCTCACTTGCCTAACCTACCCTAGCCTAGTCTAGCCTAGCCTAACCTAACCTAGCCTAACCTATCCTAGATTAGCCTAAATCGATAGAAAGAATAAGATTGTGACATTCAGATGAAAATGCTTCAGATTAGAATAGTTTATTACTCTGTGTAACTATATATTTTACAATTAAACATTATACAACCATACATGTTATAACTAAACATTATACAACTACATATGTTATAACTGAACCTTTTGAAACTACATATTTTGAGAAATGTGCAAAAATGTTTGAGATAGATCCATGTACTTCCTGGTGCCGTGTGATCATTTCTTGCAAACTTACGACATCTGATGTGTTAGTGACTTAATTCCGCTCCGTCTGAGAGATGTGACCAAGTGCTGGTTCGTACACCTTGCCACAGGTTGTTCTGACAACCCCCGCATGACAGGGTGTTCGTACACCTTGCCACTGGTTGTTCTGACATAACCCCCGCATGACAGGGCATTCGTACATCACAACCTGCCACTGGTCACGTCATTTGGTTGTCAGTGACGAGCCTTTAGTTCTTCTGGCATACAAAGTGTTGTTCGCTACTACACATCACGAAGATATTTGACATGGTCCAGGAGCCGTTCTCAGTGCGTTCCAGGTGTATGCAAAACGATGCCTTCAGTGCAACTAGAATCGGCGGGAAAGTCATGGCATGTGTTGTCCCTGTGAACAACAAAGGTGTTTCAACTTACAAAACACAATGAAAACGAGATCATAAAATATAAGCATGGGAGTTAAGGAGGAAGAGTTAACATTTTGTGGACTTTCGGGGGGGGGGGGGGGTAGAAATAGCCTAAGCTACTCTATCCCTTTGAGATGTATTTTTTTCTTGTCTCAATAAACATACGTGAACTTGTGGACTTCCGTAATAATTCTACTGTCACTTATTTATTTGAATACCTTTTCCTGGTGTATATATGTGTCATCTTGTTAAACCAAACTTGGTTGTATTTCTTAATGTTGTTATGCTGTTGTGTTGTATATTGTGCATACTTTTATGTCAATGTTATACTATTATACTGTAAAATATGTATGTGTAGACCTATTATAACACCGCTAATTCCGGAGACCTAAACATAACACGGGTCACTCCCCGGGGCTTCCATCCAAGTCGTAAATGGTAAAACAGCTTTCACCGAAACCGAAAGGGAAGTAACCGCTGGACACATGCAGTTCGAAGCACAAAAACACAAGTTCACATAACAAAACCGGACAGAAAAATACACTCGTGAAATAAATAACATCATGGAACGACACTCTAGCAAAAAAAAAAGGCCTCCCCCACAGGACAAGTCCAAGGAGGGCCACAGGTTGGCCATCATTGGCCACAAGTCTTAGCTCAAAAGCTTTGGGACTTGCTGCAAGATGATGAGACAAAGCAGCACCACTACGTTGCTCCAGGCGAGGCATCAGCATAAGAACTGATTTGATAAGTGATGCAAAACCGAGATACGGGTCGCCTGGTGGCAGCATTCGCCACTAACGGGTTCTAATTAGTTTCGTGTGTTTTCGTAGGTTTATTTTGAACCGTTTGGTGAGTTGTTTGGCAGTTTCGTGGCTTGCGCAGTTGGGGGACCTAGCAGTTGTCTGTAAAAAGTTTGCTGTCCGGGTGAAAGGGCGAAATGTTATTTGCTCCTTACGCCTGGTGTGAGGGTTGGGGGGGGGGGAGGGGGGCACGGTTGTGGCTGTGAGCCCCGGTTGGCCAAACATAACTCTTGCAACAGATGTGACTTGTAGAAGGGGACCAATCTCGGCGAAAAAGCTACAGGGGATCACCTGTACCTGGACAATCTCAGGTCAAGAAGGTTAGATCAACACAAGGAAAGGTCAAAACAAGAACGTTTGGGTATAAAAAAAAGGTTAGATCAAGACATGTGGGAATGTCCCATCAATTGCCAAAATTACGCGGGGAAAAGCTCCAAAATTCCAATCCAATATATATCACCTATATTCAGGCTGTATCAACTTAAATCTAGATATACATCTCAATCCCTAAGATGGGATACCATACATGTATATGTGTACCCCACAGTAATATTGGCTGGGATTGTATGCACTCACACGTAAACTCACAGAGGCACTGGGATAGAGAATTATGGTTTACCCAGTTCACATTTCCAGAGGTAAATTATTGCTGAGTAAAGCATAATGCATGTAGAGCTTAATAACAGTCCGCGAAGTATGTTTAAACATACAGGAAGTTTAGCAACTGTTCGTTTCATCAAATTAGACAAGACTAACAGCTACAACTTCATAATATTGCATTAATCTTAAATGAATTAAATAAATAGCTATGAGTGAAAGCGGATGGCTATTGTCTGTAAAACGGTAATTAAGCCAGAGAAATTGATTCGTGGTGGCCCTGGAATAATGACTAAAGATACAATAAGAGAGAAAATAAATGGTTGCTTACATTACTGAAATTTGTTGAACTTTAAGCGGTAAATGTATGATTGTGTATGAAGGTCCACGTTTGTGTATTCTTGAGTGTTCATACATCTACATATCCATGTATGCTTGTGTTTATGTTCTTACAAATGCGTTCGTGCAGAACATGCTTGTGTACAGCATTAGTGTAACGAACTTTCAATAGTACTTCCCGCGCCAGTGAGCACATACGGCAACATTCGTGTTTGAAGCATAGTCAAGCAAAGGAGAAGACAGTGAGGGATCCTTACCGTCAGGCAGACACCACTGTGCAGTCTGAGTGGTAAATCCGACCGTCCCGCCTGTCCATATCAACGACACCTCTGTCAGGAGACGGGAAGGAAGTTAATATTATATATTGCCCAGTGTGTGTGTGTACTCAACTAGTTGTGCTTGCGGGGGTTGAGTTTCGGCTCTTTGGTCCAGCCTCTCAACTGTCAATCTACTGGTGTACAGATCCCTGAGCTTCTCGAACTCTATCATATCCACATTTGAAACTGTGTATGACGTCAGCCTCCAACACATCACTTCCTAGTGCATTCCATTTACTAACTACTCTGACACTGAAAAAGTTCTTTCTTACACACCCACACACACACACGCACAAGTACTCAGAGCAAGATTATTCAACAGTGGATAACGTCTGAACTACTGTACCGTACAAATTGAGGAGAGTGGTAACCTCCTTCATTTTGTCCGGAGTGTCAAAGACAGCGAGAAAGCCACCGTCCAAATGGCAGTCTCTAACTGCAAAGCTATAGGTCATACTCTTGAGTGACAGCCTGTAAAACCTCGCACCGATCATCATGTAGTTTCCTGTCATATAGAAAGTAATTATCAAAAGACGGCGCCAAGTCGGGAAGACTATGCAGCCTGGCACATAGAAATACACATATATTTGTTGATTCTGTTCCAATTGCAATTATCATGGCTACTTTTATCGTACAAAATGTGGCGCATATATACATTTATACATACATATTTACTGGTATATACATGTATAGGAGCCAAATAGATTTTTTTAAATAGAAATTGTGCATTATATATAGCCAATAATTAGGCACAGGGTTTCTGGAAGCCTCGCGGGCAGAAATCTCAGCACGTAAAAATATAACAAATGTATAGAAATATGAATAATAATGATTGTCTGACCTCTCTTGAAGAATGATACGGCGTTGGGCTGAGTGGTGAGGTTGGCAGCAGCAACACCACTGTAGGAGAGGTGGCAGAGAACCTTGCTGTTTGACACGATCTCAGCTGTTGCCTCATGGCACAGTGTCTGAGTGAAACACGCAACCCGACAGGCACCTGCCAAGGAAGAGACGACAGGCCAACGGATACAAGTCATATCATACGTAAGACGGTTCGCCAACGGATTTGATATCCTGCTTAATCTTATCCATCCTAACCTAACCCAGCCGAGCCTAACATTGACTAACCTAGGCTAATATATCCTAAACCCTAACAATTCTGGTTTTAACCACCAGAAAACGAGCTTTGGCAAGCCATACTCTGTACGATTTGACCATACCAGAGGCCAATTCGTTTACAAACAACTGTCTTCTCACCTCTATGCACAAGAAGGAACGAAATATATTTTCCCTGATAATTACCTTACCCAAATATTCGTTTTCCGCTGTATTTAATAAGTTTTTCATACATCTCTTTAATGCCTATAGCTTTCCTATATTTCAGCTTCTCAACTAACGAGATTATCTCTTGGGAGGGTAGAAATAGCCTAAGCTACTCTATTCCTTTGAGACGTATTTCTCTCTTGTCTCAATAAACATACTTGAATTTGAATTATCTCTTCCATGTAACTTTGCTCAACCACTTGGATTGGACGGTAGAGCGACGGTCCTGTTTCTTGCAGGTCGGCGTCCAGCATCCTTCTATGGTTTCTCAACGTCCAAGCTCTTCACTGCGGTCAATTGGGAAGATCTTTTACAATATCCTTACGGAAACATTTACATCCATGAGTTATTTGACGGTAATTTCCTGCGTTGATGTTACTTACATGAATTCTGGAAAGTAATTGTCAGGTTGACGAAGGCGAGTGGGATGACACGACCCAGAATCAAGTGCATGCCGGAGACCGGGGCCGGCGGGGTGGCCACCAGCACCGCCAGGCTGACTCCGCCCAGGGCGCCACACAGGACGGTCAACACCAGCAGTCCGGGTCCCTTCATCTCCATTACTTCCCTTAAAATTGAGACACGCTTTTACAACTAATGACCATCTAATATTGCGCAGGTGTTTTTTTTTTATTATCTGAAAGAACTCTTTAATTTTTATATTACTATTATCTCTCTCTCTCTCTCCATTTACTGTATATCTTTTTACAACCTATATATCTTTCCTCAATCGTGTAGGCTTAGTCTTCTTTTAACAGTTTACGATGTTCGTAAGTTCGCCACCTAAGGTTAATTAATATTGTTATATACAACCTGGTAGAAATTCGCAGCTCATGAACTATTTAATAAATACAAATTAAGCTGCCGTGATTGAGGAAAGATGTACAGGTTTCGTAAGTGGTCACGTAACTGATTGGTGAATCCTGGTCAGAAAGAAATTAACTATTCCTCACTCTGGGATCTGTAAGGCCCTCACTCAGTGAGTGAGCAGAATGTCATACTCACGAAATACTAATCTCATTACCAGGATGATGAATGTACTCACCGTGTACTTGGCTAAGGAACACAGTGTACTTGGCTAAGGAACACAGTGTACTTGGCTAAGGAACACAGCGTACTTGGTTAAGGAGCACAGTGTACTTGGTTAAGGAAGATGTAAACCAGTTACCCAGGACAACATTAAATGACCCGTCATGGCCAGCAAATATTGACCACCTCAGAATGGAATCTAAAATGGTGTAAATATTTGAATTCTCTATCCTCGTCTCCCTGTCAACGATGCCGGATACAAGCCGGCTAGTTACACCACAGTGTAACCGCGAGCCTAATATGTGCTCAGCCAAAACATTCAATGAAAATTAAATATTTGGATTTGAATTTCAGAGCATCATTATATTTTTTCGAGATTAAGAATTAATAACCTACACTGGGAAAGCGTTTTAAGTCTAAGGCATTTGTTTAAGGAATTTAACTGTTTCGTGCATACGTATAAGTTAACTTCGTCTTGCGTGTGTGCTCTAGGGTCTTGGTCGTATAATTGGGTTCGTTCTCAACTCAGTCAGGAATTCCGGGTTCGAATCCCGGCCAAGAAAGAAATGGCGGGCACATTTCCTATAACCTAACGTTCCTGTTCACCAAGCAGTAAATAGGTACCCAGGAGTTATTCAGCTTGCTGTAGGGTTGCATCCTGACGAACGTCAGTAGTTTGAGCTTTAAGGAAGAAGGGAAAAAACCTTCGATATAAGCCTAATATACAGTGGCTGCCTGTTCCCCCCGACACAGTGAATAATTAACTCTTGAGACCCCAGACAGGCGCCTCGATAATTTCCAGTCTTGTGCTCTTGATCAATCTGATTTCCAGACGGATTTGAAGGAACTGTAAAGCAAGCCCAAGACATTAAGAGATAATGTGATAAAAATTATAGAAGACATCGAACAAAACGCTACATACGCCTATAGTTCGTGTATATGTTCACCCGAATGTATATGAATATGAATACATATACATGTATGTATATGTACATGTCTACATACACCTGAAAGTAAACATACATATGCGTGTGAGCACAAACCTTGAAGTTGGACTCATGTTTACACATCGCCAATTTGAATATTTAATATCAAAATGGCAGTTGAATATTTATATTCACGCTAAAGCAATTTTCCGCTTTTATACAAAATGCTTCAATAATTTTTTATTTTATTTTAACAAAATTCACTGAAGGAAGTCGAAGATTATATGCTTGAAATATTTTGAGGATATCTTCATGATGTTCCCAGAGTCTGCCAGTGGCAGACTACTGATCACATGGCCCTATATGACTGACCATCTTGTGTGATGGGGATCCTTAGCGTCACATAGCTAGTTCTTGACACACACTGTACTCTCCTTCATATAGTCTAGTCTAGCTGCATAAATGTACATGTACCTAAATGTGTTAATAATTAGCCTAGTCAATGCTATACTGAGCGAGCTATAACAATCAGCTGTCCTAGTCTCTGCTATACTGAGCGAGCTATAAGAACCAGCTATCCTAGTCTCTGCTATACGAAGCGAGTTAAAACTCCCAGTTATCCTGGTAAATGCTATACTGAGCGAGTTATAACAACCAGCTATCCTAATCACTGCTGTACTGGACGAGCTATAACAATCAGCTATCCTAAACACCTAAACATCTAACATACGCCAAACTACATATAAAATTTTTAATATAAAATAATATCACAGAGAAATAGCAAAATCAGTCAAATACAAGCGACTGAAAGGTCAATACACCTTTGTTCCCATAGCGTCTGAGACACATGGCCCCTGGGGTGGAAGTGCCTTGGGATTTCTCAAAGAATTGGGCTCCAGGCTCATTAAAAAAAAACCCACATGCGTTTTTTTTATTAATATATTAGGTACATTTGCATTTGTGCAGCTGACCTAGACTATATGAAGGGGAGTACAGTGTGTCAAAAAGGTAGCTACGTTGTACTAAAAAAAAATCCCCATCACACAGGATGGTTAGTCATACAGGGCTATATGTTCAGTAGTCTGCACTGGCAGACTCTGGGTGCATTATGAGGATATCATCATTAACACAAGAGTGAGTGAGGCAGCAGTGATACTAAAAGTCCCCATCTCGCAGGATGGTTAGTCATACAGGGCCATATGTTCAGTAGCCTACACTGGCAAATTTTGGGTGCAATATGAGGATATCTTCAAGAATACGAGAGTGAATAAAGTAATTGCAAAGCTCCAGGTGCCTCATGCCAACTGGTCTGAAAGGTCTAATAACTGGGCATTCGGTGATGTAGTGTGGGAGATCATGCCGCAGTTCCTGCTCACAGAGTTTGCACCTGCAGTGCTCAGGATTGGGAGATCCGTCACCTGTAGCCACCTGCCACAGGTAACGGTAACCCAACCTGTTCCTGGCAACCACTGTGTCGCACAGTCTGGTCCACGTTTTGTGCAGTTGAGAAATGGACTGGAGAAAAAACCTGCGGTATAGTTTCTCAATCAAACAGTACTGTTCAAAGTAGAATCCGCGACATGATCATTGTAAATAATTGCCTGGTACTGAGGACTTGTTGAGCCTTAATTATTATAGGAGGATGAGCAACATCCTCCCTGGTAATTACTAAACTAGTCACCGTGTCTTCAACGCCTACACAGATTTGTTCAACTACAGGTAGAATATCAATATCATCCCTAGTAGACACAGAGACAATGTGTCCCCTTACACCAAGGGAAGCAGGGAGGGGACAGTGTACTCACCAGGGGTGCTGGCCAGGCTCTGAGACAGCCAGCACCAAGGTTGCCAGATCTAAATTGCGGAAAGTAGCGAGCTGACGGCCAAAAAGTAGCGAATTTGTAATAAGAGTAGCCCAATTTTTTTTTAGTGAATGATATGGGTTTCAAAGTAATATATTTTGATACATAGAGTACACTACACGATGTTAATTGTTTTATTAATATTATTTCTGTACATACACACACACACACATATATATATATATATATATATATATATATATATATATATATATATATATATATATATATATATATATATATATATATATATATATATATATATATATATATATATGTCGTACCTAGTAGCCAGAACGCACTTCTCAGCCTACTATGCAAGGCCCGATTTGCCTAATAAGCCAAGTTTTCATGAATTAATATATTTTCTCTATTTTTTTTCTTATGAAATGATAAAGCTCCCCATTTCATTATGTATGAGGTCAATTTTTTTTATTGGAGTTAAAATTAACGTAGATATATGACCGAACCTAACCAACCCTACCTAACCTAACCTAACCTATCTTAATATGTTAGGTTAGGTTAGGTAGCCGAAAAAGTTAGGTTAGGTTAGGTTAGGTAGGTTAGGTAGTCGAAAAACATTTAATTCATGAAAACTTGGCTTATTAGGCAAATTGGGCCTTGCATAGTAGGCTGAGAAGTGCGTTCTGGCTACTAGGTACGACATATAAATAAATAAATAAATAAATATATATATATATATATATATATATATATATATATATATATATATATATATATATATATATAAATTTGGCACCTTTGTGGGACCTTGGTATAAGCCTAACGTATATATACACTGGCTGCCTGTCCCCCTACACAATGATTTATTATTACCTATTATTTTATCGTTTAAATTAAATATTAAATAAAATAATTTATTTAATTATTATAGTAAGTACTTAATAATTTAATAATAAGTAGTAAGTACATAAAAATAATTAAAAAGTACAGTTTAGTCAAAGGAGATTCCTAGATTGGAATTCACAACCAAATTTCGATATATCCAAGTATTTTTAGTGTGAAATGCTGTTATTATATGCATAAATTGTTGTTTTAATAATATTACGCTTAACCACTTGGGCTGGACGGTAGAGCGACGGTCTCGTTTCCTACAGGTCCGCGTTCAATCCCCGACCGCCCAAAAGGTTGGGCACCATTCCTTTCCCCCGTTCCATCTCAAATCCGTATCTTGACCCTTCCGAGTGCTATATAGTCGTAATGGCTTGGCGCTTTCACTTGATAGTTCCCCCACCCTCCTGAATAATATTACGAGAGCAGTATTTACGGGCTATTCATGCCCGTGCCACCTCTTGGGTGGCTTAATCTTCATCAATCGAGAGCAGTACGTCCTAACCAGACGTTATATGATGATATCCTGAACAGTTGATAAATATAAGTAATTGCGGAACTCCAGTTATCTAATACTTATCATAAATGGTATAAAACCTTATCATAAGCCAAGGGATTTGTGGATCAGTGTTTAAAAGGAATTCGGAAGTAATAATGATACAGCTGATGCCATCTGTCGGCAGAAGAGAACACTATCAACTGGCTGGTCAACAGGGGCCATAAGGTACAGCTTACGCCATCTGTTGACATCAAATCACACTTATAACAAATTACCCCACAAAATACAACTAGCGCCATCTCTTTTTTTTCCAACGCACTATAAATAGCCAAACAGCAACCCATAAGGTGGGTTGTTGTGCTCGGGTAGGAGGTTCCAAGCTCCGCCTAGATATT